CTACGATTTAGAGAGAATTACGAATGCATGGCGCATCACAAAAGGTGTACTGAGTGATTAATCATTTTTTAGTCTAAATTGTGAGCTGTAGTTGGCTATTAATTCAGGTGAGCAATTTCCTAACAATTCCTTTGACATGTGGACTGACCTCCGTTGATACCCTCGAGAACATTGCTTGCCGGGATATTACACACTAGCCAATGTAGCCATTCCGCGACCGATGGGTTTTTCCTCGATAGATTGTCGGGATCTGAAAAGCGCAGCTCAAAAACGGTCTCACTGATGTGGTACAACTCTACACTTCATAAAAACATGAGAGAACATTTCCCAAGCGCAAGTTCTTCCAGCAACAGCGGAGGAATTCAAACTGATCGTATCATCAACCGATTTTCCTTCCCTTGTGCACGTGAACAAACAAATCTCGCCTTCTACGCTAACTTGTTTCCACCTTTCTCGACCTTTCTGGATATCTATTCCTCTTTTTCTTTTCCCCAGCGTTAGTCTCGCCGGGTCCGCTGCCTCTCTGAATAGCTAAGCCCCAACGGTTGCGATGGCTCATTTGGGTTGCCGAAAAAAAAGGTCATGAGAACTGGGGAGATAAGATTTCGAAAGGAGGTTGAGGAAGTTTCACATTTTCAGGCTATTAATCTAATTCCTTCTTGGCGCTATTAATCCAATTCTTAGCGCGTTTGAAACTCGAAAAGGTGTCCCTGTTTGGCCAACTCAATAACATTTCAATGCGTCTAGGTCTCACGATTAGATTTTGGACTATAGTTTACTTCTCCCAGCATGAGAGATGAGCAAATCACTTGCTCTGGCAAGAACCTCTTCCACCACAAGACAAGAGCAAGAACTTAACCGCTCAAATTTATTTGACGTTTCTGCCCTTTGTATGATTATTATATTGATATTTAGAACGAAAATGTGCAATACATTCATTTCTGATCGATGCTGAAAAGGCCGGGTGGGAGAACCCGAAGTGGACTGTGGGCGTTCAATTGTCACTTTCCCGTGCCCTTCGTTTGACGTCAAAGATCCACAACGGCTGTCTCAGCCTCTTTGGCTCGATCGTCGCCGAACATGGCCTTAGCACACACATTTGAGTACTTGAGCTTTCCAATGCCTCGGATAGGTAACAAAATTGAACTGACCGATCATCAGTAGGGAGAAGATGCTCTCCGGGTCCGCTCCGGGGAGATGAAAACGAGGGGCATTTTTCAGATTCCTTGTCGGACATGGTCATTTCCAGGTTCGACCTGGATACCATCCCAGGTGAGCTGAAAAAGAGGTATTACTCGGCGACCGATCTGTAAGGATTACAAGTGGTAACTTACGTTCAACTTTTGTTTTGGTGGGTTGTCTATCACACTTGGAGTGAGTTCCGCATTGGCGAATGCAGCTGCGAGATCTCCCATTCTGAAACAAAAGTCTGAGATTTACAGACACTTTTGAGAGAGTACTACTCTCGAACTTTTTCGGAAAATTTATGGGCAATTCCGTCTAAAGAGAGTGTTTTAATGATGGCAAGGTGCTCAAAAATCCAAGACCCGAGACATTCAGACTTCAGAAATAGAAAGAAGTGACTTTTTGAAGTGCAAAAATCAGAGAAGAGCGGCTGATATTGCAGAAAGAAAGCCAAAGAGAAGCAGGTGGGAGTTGGTAAGACGAAGGGAGGAGCCCTGATGGAACAGCTGATCTCTCCCCCGCATTCGCTCAGGGAACACCAGACAGCACATAAAACGACGCCGATCACAAAGCGCTTAATCAAAAGTGTGACAGAATAGCGATCTGAAAATCGAAGTTACACTTTTAGAACTGCTTCTTCGATGTTTTCATCAGCTGGCTTTGAGCGAATCATCCAGCCGTGGTCAGGAAAAATCTGATAGCTTCACAAATCATCGGAGAAAGATTGATAGTGGGATAAGCTCGTGTCTTTTGACCCAACAGCTGCTGTGGCCCATTTTGTACACAAGACCAACTGATCAACAGTTGACAATTGGACTGTCCTGCACAGAGGCTGTCCACCGGTGAGCTGGCGCTTGTAAGACTGTCCCGAAGTGGGACGAAGTTTCGAGTATTTAACGGGTTTTGAAATAGGGGTTAATCAGTTATAAATAATATATTTGCGCAATAGCAAAAACGAGGTACTGGGGTTCAAATATGAAATAGAAGTTAACTGACTTGCCAGTAAAAATTAACTGAAAACGCTCAAATGAGGCCCTCCTTCTTCTAAACGGTGGGGATGTCTGGAACATAAGCAGTCTCACCATTAGACAAACTCGGGTGGAATGAATGCTGGACGGGGACGAGAGAGTATTGCGACGAGGGAGATGCAGACAGCACAACAATGGGCATTCACTGACTCATTGGCATGATCTAACCCTGTCTCACCAATAGGCCCCTTTTTGTGCCTCCTCTAGGAACGGATTGGTTCCTGATGCCCCATTCACGCTCAACGGAACGAACATCACCGAATGCTCCAGCTACGTGTACCTAGGTCGGGAAATCAATATGATGAACGATCTAGCTCCAGAGCTGAGCAGGAGGAAACGAGCGGCTTGGGGAGCGTACAAGAACATCGAGGGAGTAGTGAAGAAGACGAAGAACATCCGGCTCCGTGCCCACCTCTTCGATTCCGCTGTCCTTCCTGCCCTTAA